ACAGTAGTAGGGGTGTTGCTCTCAGAATACAAGTCAGTGCATGCAGCACTGCTGGATGATATTTCACATCTGCAGTTAAAAAAAAGAATGTATTATCAGAAAAGATTGGTCAGCAGGTGAATTGCTCCTATGCTTCAGAATATATTTTTTTCACTTATTTTGACAGAGATTTCTTCATCCACATCGATCAATATATATATGGAGGAATCCTTTAGGTTCTGTTTTTCATTCAGCCCAAAGAACATTTCATGTGTGCCCAACATTAGAAGTGTGTGGATGCAGGGTGGTATATTCTAATGGTGGGCATACCATACACTTTTTCTAGCACATATTCCTCCATCCATGTCCCTTTTTTTCATTCAGTCCACAGGTTGCATGAAATAAAATAACATTTACATATCTGCCCAACAAGGATCAGCAATGTACTAGTGCGTCCCTGGACTTTGAGTGGTTATACCTGTAGCTGCAGGCATCATCCTGGTGTTGTTTTTGCAGCCTTTTATGTAAAAGCAATCCTAGCGGCTATATAGCTATTGGATTGCTTTTACAAGCAGTCCTGCCGCCTTCCATGGCTTTCTCAGACTTTCCCATGCCACCAGGGAATCCGAGAATGCAGACGGCAATTCTGCCTGCTTACCATAGAGCTGATCAGAATGGCTCCAATCATCTCTATGGTCTATGAAACTGGAAGCTCCAAGCATTCCATCACTTCGGGTTTCGTCAGAAGTAAACAGCGCCATTTTTAAATTGGGAAAGCATCTGATTACACTAATCTTGGTGTGATAAGATGCTTTAAGGGCAGAGGAGAGATATAGAGTCTGATAGACCCCAGATTTCTCAGAAAAGAGTACCTGTCACTGCCTACTGCTATCATAGGGGATATTTGTGTTCCCTGTGATAACAAAAAAAGTGATTTAAGAAAATTGAAAGGGACAGTGTGAAAATAAAAAAGCAAAATAAATAATTAAAAAAAAAATGTAAAGCACCCCCCCCCGTGCTCACAAGCTAATGCAAACACAGTACAAGTCCTGTGGTGGTATGTTAACAGTGATTGTACCATGCATGTGAGGAGTCACTGAGGACAAAAGATTGAGGGCAGTAATTCTAGCACTAGACCTCCTGTGTAAATCTAAAGAGGTAACCTGTAAAGGCTTGTTCGGTGTTGCCTATGGATATTAAAAATGGACAGTTTTCCGGCATTGCAAAAGAATGCACAATTTTAAAGCATGTCATGTTTGGTATCTAATTACTAGGCATAACATCTTTTACACTTTACCAAACAATCAGGCAATATATTGTGTTTGTGTGCATTAAAATTCAAAAAAAGTGTATTTTTTCCCAAAAAATTGTGGTTGAAAAAATCGCTACACAAATACTGTGTGATATAAAAAATTGCAACACCCACCATTTTTTTTTTTTCTCTAGGGCCTCTGATTAAAACAAAATAATGTTTGGGGGGTTTAAAGTAGTTTTCCTAGCACAAAATACAGATTTTTTCATGTTAAAAAGGGCCAGAAGGCTTAATTTTCAAGTGCTTAGAAGAGTGGGTGATGTGTGGCATAAGCTTCTAATTAGAGATGAGCGAATTATTCAAAAATTCGATTCGACTGATTCGGCGAATTCGTGAAAAAAATTTGGATTCGAGTCGAATATATTCGCTGCGAATTTAACTTATAAAAGGGTGTTTCTAGGCTTCAGAGAGCCTTTATATTAGTGCAGAACACTGTACCTTTAATTTAAATGCCCTTGGAGTCTGCTGGGGAAGAGAAATAATACTGTCAGTCAGTATGACATGCAGATGAGTGCCGTCGATCTTAGAATCACCGCACACTTCACTCATTTGAGCAGTCACGGGGCCAAAACCAGAGTGTGGAGCCACAGTGTGGCGGTGGAGGCAGCAGCAATGGGAGGCCATACAGCACCCTATGACAAAATGGAACCCACCAGCAGTGTGAGGAGACCTGAAAGTGGCACATGGCAGAGTGTGGCGATGGAGACAGCAGCAATGGGAGGCGGTACAGGGACCCATGACACACTCTGGACCTGGCAGCAGCATGAGGAGGCGGTACAGGGGCCCATGACAGATTACGGGCCTGGCAGCAGCATGAGGAGTTGGTACGGGGGCCCATGGCAGATTACGAGCCTGGCAGCAGCAATGGGAGGCCGTACAGGGACCCATGACACACTCTGGACCTGGCAGCAGCATGAGGAGGCGGTACAGGGGCCAATGACAGATTACGGGCCTGGCAGCAGCATGAGGAGTCGTCGGTACGGGGGCCCATGACACACTCTGGTCCTGGCAGCAGCATGAGGAGGCGGTACAGGGGCGCATGACAGATTACGAGCCGGGCAGCAGCAACTTGGACAGGAGGGTCGTTCAGCTTCTGCACCGTCGGGTGCGTGCTCGCAAACTGTTGTCTCTTGGAAACGGATTCCAAGAAAGACTGCTGACGGAATCCGTGAAGAGAGAGTAGCAGGAGAAGGAGCATCTGAACGAGCGGAATATGCCAACAAGCGACAAGAGGGGCCCATGACAGATTACGGGCCCTGGCAGCAGCATGAGGAGTCGGTACGGGGGCCCATGGCAGATTACGGGGCCTGGCAGCAGCAATGGGAGGCCATGCAGCACCCTATGACAAAATGGAAACCCACCAGCAGTGTGAGGAGACCTGAAAGTGGCACATGGCAGAGTGTGGCGATGGAGACAGCAGCAATGGGAGGCGGTACAGGGACCCATGAGACACTGTGGACCTGGCAGCAGCATGAGGAGGCGGTACAGGGGCCCATGGCAGATTAAGGCCTGGCAGCAGCAATGGGAGGCCCGTAATCTGCCAGCACCCTATGACAAAATGGAACCCAGCAGGGCTGGGGCAGGCAGAACCGCCGATCTTTTATCACGGTTTTCCCAGGCCACCGAATGGCAACGCTGCATATGCTGACGCAACGCTGTAGTCCCAACATGGGCCCCCTGGCCACGCTTGACTTTCTGGCCACATAGTCGACATACGGCTACGTTTGGCTTATGGCTCCTCGGGCGGCTTGACGAAAAATTGCCACACACCGCCGCCGAAGGAAACTTTGCCCCCGCTACTCCTCACTGGCTGACTGCTACTTCCTCTGTGCACACCGGCACCACTACTGGCCGTGGTGGGAGGACCTGCAGTGGAGCTGGTGCTCTACTCCGTGGCCGTTTGCCTCCACTGACACTGCTGCGACCCTGCTTCCTCCTGGCACCCAGCAATGGGGACCTGGCAGCAGATGAGGAGGCGAGGTGGTACAGGGGCCCATGGCAGATTAGGGGCCTGGCAGCAGCAATGGGAGGCCCGTAATCTGCCAGCACCCTATGACAAAAAATGGAAACACCCAGCAGTGTGAGGAGACCTGAAAGTGGCACATGGCAGAGTGTGGCGATGGAGACAGCAGCAATGGGAGGCCGTACAGGGACCCATGAGAGAGACTCTGGACCTGGCAGCAGCAGCATGAGGAGGCGGCGGTACAGGGGCCCATGGCAGATTACGGGCCTGGCAGCAGCAATGGGAGGCCCGTAATCTGCCAGCACCCTATGACAAAAAATGGAAACACACCAGCAGTGTGTGAGGAGACCTGAAAGTGGCACATGGCAGAGTGTGGCGATGGAGACAGCAGCAATGGGAGGCCGTACAGGGACCCATGAGAGACACTGTGGACCTATGCAGCAGCATGAGGAGGCGATACAGGGGCCCATGGCAGATTAGGGGCCTGGCAGCAGCAATGGGAGGGCCCGTAATCTGCCAGCACCTATGACAAAAAATGGAACACACCAGCAGTGTGAGGAGACCTGAAAGTGGCACATGGCATGAGACACACAATGGGAGGCCGTGGACCCATGAGATGGCAGGCAGCAGCATGAGGAGGAGGCGGTACAGGGGCCCATGGCAGATTAGGGGCCTGGCAGCAGCTATGGGAGGCCCGTAATCTGCCAGCACCCTATGACAAAAAATGGAACACACCAGCAGTGTGTGAGGAGACCTGAAAGTGGCACATGGCAGAGTGTGGCGATGGAGATGGAGACAGCAGCAATGGGACAGGCCGTACAGGGACCCATGAGACACTGTGGACCTGGCAGCAGCAGCATGAGGAGGAGGCGGTACAGGGGCCCATGGCAGATTAGGGGCCTGGCAGCAGCAATGGGAGGCCCGTAATCTGCCAGCACCCTATGACAAAATGGAACACACCAGCAGTGTGAGGAGACCTGAAAGTGGCACATGGCATGACACACTGATGGACCTGGCAGCAGCATGAGGGAGGCGGTACAGGGGCCCATGGCAGACCTAGGGGCCTGGCAGCAGCTATGGGAGGCCCGTACAGGGGCCCATGGCACCCTATGACAAAAAATGGAACACACACCAGCAGTGTGTGAGGAGACCTGAAAAAATGGCACATGGCAGAGTGTGGCGATGGAGAGCAGCAAGCAGCAATGGGAGGCCGTACAGGGACCCATGAGAGACTCTGGACCTGGCAGCAGCATGAGGAGGCGGCGGTACAGGGGCCCATGGCAGATTAGGGGCCTGGCAGCAGCAATGGGAGGCCCGTAATCTGCCAGCACCCTATGAAAAAAAATGGAACACACCAGCAGTGTGAGGAGACCTGAAAGTGGCACATGGCAGAGTGTGGCGATGGAGACAGCAGCAATGGGAGGCCGTACAGGGACCCATGAGAGACTCTGGACCTGGCAGCAGCATGAGGAGGCGGTACAGGGGCCCATGGCAGATTAGGGGCCTGGCAGCAGCAATGGGAGGCCCGTAATCTGCCAGCACCCTATGACAAAAAATGGGAACACACCAGCAGTGTGAGGAGACCTGAAAGTGGCACATGGCAGAGTGTGGCGATGGAGACAGCAGCAATGGGAGGCCGTACAGGGACCCATGAGACACTGTGGACCTGGCAGCAGCATGAGGAGGCGGTACGGGGGGCCCATGGCAGATTAGGGGCCTGGCAGCAGCAATGGGAGGCCCGTAATCTGCAGGCACCCTATGACAAAAAATGGAACACACCAGCAGTGTGAGGAGACCTGAAAGTGGCACATGGCAGAGTGTGGCGATGGAGACAGCAGCAATGGGAGGCCGTACAGGGACCCATGAGAGACTCTGGACCTGGCAGCAGCATGAGGAGGCGGTATAGGGGCCCATGGCAGATTAGGGGCCTGGCAGCAGCAATGGGAGGCCCGTAATCTGCCAGCACCCTATGACAAAAAATGGAAACACACCAGCAGTGTGAGGAGACCTGAAAGTGGCACATGGCAGAGTGTGGCGATGGAGACAGCAGCAATGGGAGGCCGTACAGGGACCCATGAGACACTGTGGACCTGGCAGCAGCATGAGGAGGCGGTACAGGGGCCCATGGCAGATTAGGGGCCTGGCAGCAGCAATGGGAGGCCCGTAATCTGCCAGCACCCTATGACAAAAATGGAACACACCAGCAGTGTGAGGAGACCTGAAAGTGGCACATGGCATGACACACTGTGGACCTGGGGCAGCAGCATGAGGAGGCAGCAGCATGAGGAGGTACAGGGGCCCATGGCAGATTAGGGGCCTGGCAGCAGCTATGGGAGGCCCGTAATCTGCCAGCACCCTATGACAAAAAATGGAACACACCAGCAGTGTGTGAGGAGACTGAAAGTGGCACATGGCAGAGTGTGGCGATGGAGACAGCAGCAATGGGAGGCCGTACAGGGACCCATGAGACACTGTGGACCTGGCAGCAGCATGAGGAGGCGGTACAGGGGCCCATGCAGATTAGGGGCCTGGCAGCAGCAATGGGAGGCCCGTAATCTGCCAGCACCCTATGACAAAAAATGGAACACACCAGCAGTGTGAGGAGACCTGAAAGTGGCACATGGCAGAGTGTGGCGATGGAGACAGCAGCAATGGGGCCTACCGTACAGGGACCCATGAGAGACTCTGGACCTGGCAGCAGCATGAGGAGGCGGTACAGGGGCCCATGGCAGATTAGGGGCCTGGCAGCAGCAATGGGAGGCCCGTAATCTGCAGCACCCTATGACAAAAAATGGAACACACCAGCAGTGTGAGGAGACCTGAAAGTGGCACATGGCAGAGTGTGGCGATGGAGACAGCAGCAATGGGAGGCCGTACAGGGACCCATGAGAGACTCTGGACCTGGCAGCAGCATGAGGAGGCGGTACAGGGGCCCATGGCAGATTAGGGGCCTGGCAGCAGCAATGGGAGGCCCGTAATCTGCCAGCACCCTATGACAAAAAATGGAACACACCAGCAGTGTGAGGAGACCTGAAAGTGGCACATGGCAGAGTGTGGCGATGGAGACAGCAGCAATGGGAGGCCGTACAGGGACCCATGAGAGACTCTGGACCTGGCAGCAGCATGAGGAGGCGGTACAGGGGCCCATGGCAGATTAGGGGCCTGGCAGCAGCAATGGGAGGCCCGTAATCTGCCAGCACCCTATGACAAAAAATGGAACACACCAGCAGTGTGAGGAGACCTGAAAGTGGCACATGGCAGAGTGTGGCGATGGAGACAGCAGCAATGGGAGGCCGTACAGGGACCCATGAGAGACTCTGGACCTGGCAGCAGCATGAGGAGGCGGTACAGGGGCCCATGGCAGATTAGGGGCCTGGCAGCAGCAATGGGAGGCCCGTAATCTGCCAGCACCCTATGACAAAAAATGGAACACACCAGCAGTGTGAGGAGACCTGAAAGTGGCACATGGCAGAGTGTGGCGATGGAGACAGCAGCAGCAATGGGAGGCCGTACAGGGACCCATGAGAGACTCTGGACCTGGCAGCAGCAGCATGAGGAGGGAGGCGGTACAGGGGCCCATGGCAGATTAGGGGCCTGGCAGCAGCAATGGGAGGCCCGTAATCTGCCAGCACCCTATGACAAAAAATGGAACACACCAGCAGTGTGTGAGGAGACCTGAAAGTGGCACATGGCAGAGTGTGGCGATGGAGACAGCAGCAATGGGGAGGCCGTACAGGGACCCATGAGAGACTCTGGACCTGCAGCAGCAGCATGAGGAGGCGGTACAGGGGCCCATGGCAGATTAGGGGCCTGGCAGCAGCAATGGGAGGCCCGTAATCTGCCAGCACCCTATGACAAAAAATGGAACACACCAGCAGTGTGAGGAGACCTGAAAGTGGCACATGGCAGAGTGTGGCGATGGACACAGCAATGGGAGCCGTGGACCATGGGGCAGCGATGAGGAGGCATAGGGGCCCATGGCAGATTAGGGGGCCTGGGCAGCAGCTATGGGAGGCCCGTAATCTGCCAGCACCCTATGACAAAAAATGGAACACACCAGCAGGAGACCTGAAAGTGGCACATGGCATGGACTGGGCGATGAGACAGCAGCAATGGGGAGGGGTACAGGGGCCCATGGCAGATTAGGGGCCTGCAGCAGCAGCTAATGGGAGGCCCGTAATCTGCCAGCACCCTATGACAAAAAAATGGAACACACCCAGCAGTGTGAGGAGACCTGAAAGTGGCACACATGGGCAGAGGGCAGGGATGGTGGCGATGGAGCAGACAGCAGCAGCAATGGAGGCCGTACAGGGACCCATGAGAGACTCTGGACCTGGCAGCAGCATGAGGAGGCGGTACAGGGGCCCATGGCAGATTAGGGGCCTGGCAGCAGCAATGGGAGGCCCGTAATCTGCCAGCACCCTATGACAAAAAATGGAACACACCAGCAGTGTGTGAGGAGACCTGAAAGTGGCACATGGCAGAGTGTGGCGATGGAGACAGCAGCAATGGGAGGCCGTACAGGGACCCATGAGAGACTCTGGACCTGGCAGCAGCATGAGGAGGCGGTACAGGGGCCCCATGGCAGATTACGGGGCCTGGCAGCAGCAATGGGAGGCCCGTAATCTGCCAGCACCCTATGACAAAAAATGGAACACACCAGCAGTGTGAGGAGACCTGAAAGTAGGCCAGCAGAGTGGGCACATGGAGCAGAGAGCCTAGGGACCCATGAGACACTGTGGACCTGGCAGCATGGCATGAGGATGCGGCGGACAGGGGCCCATGGCAGAGTTAGGGGGCCTGGCAGCAGCAATGGGAGGCCCGTAACAGGGCACCCTATGACAAAAAAATGGAACACAGCAGCAGTGTGAGGGACCTGGAAAGTGGCACATGGCAGAGTGTGGCGATGGAGCAGCAGCAATGGGAGGCCGTAACAGGCCAGCCCATGAGACAAAATGGACCTGGCACCAGCAGCATGAGGAGGAGTATAGGGGCCCAGTGGCACATAGGGGCCTGGGAGCAGCAATGGGAGATGGTAATCTGCCACAGCAGCAAAAATGGAGGCCGTACAGTGGGGGCAGATGGAGACAGCAGAGACTACAGGGACCCATGAGTGTGGGCTGGCAGCAGCATGAGGAGGCGGTACAGGGGCCCATGGCAGATTACAGGGCCTGGCAGCAGCAATGGGAGGCCCGTAATCTGCCAGCACCCTATGACAAAAAAATGGAACACACCAGCAGTGTGAGGAGACCTGAAAGTGGACATGGCAGAGTGTGGCGATGGAGACAGCAGCAATGGGATGGCCGTACAGGGACCCATGAGAGACTCTGGACCTGGACCTGGGCAGCAGCATGAGGAGGCGGTTAGGGGCCCATGGCAGATTACGGGCCTGGCAGCAGCAATGGGAGGCCCGTAATCTGCCAGCACCCTATGACAAAAAATGGAAACACACCACCAGCAGTGTGAGGAGACCTGAAAAGTGGCCACATGGGCAGAGTGTGGCGATGGAGACAGCAGCAATGGGAGGCCGTACAGGGACCCATGAGAGACTCTGGACCTGGCAGCAGCATGAGGAGGCGGTACAGGGGCCCATGGCAGATTACGGGGCCTGGCAGCAGCAATGGGAGGCCCGTAATCTGCCAGCACCCTATGACAAAAAATGGAACACACCAGCAGTGTGTGAGGAGACCTGAAAGTGGCACCCATGGCAGAGTGTGGCGATGGAGACAGCAGCAGCAATGGGAGGCCGTACAGGGACCCATGAGAGACTCTGGACCTGCAGCAGCAGCATGAGGAGGCGGTACAGGGGCCCATGGCAGATTAGGGGCCTGGCTTGCAGCAATGGGAGGCCCGTAATCTGCCAGCACCCTATGACAAAAAATGGAACATCTCCAGCAGTGTGTGAGGAGACCTGAAAGTGGCACATGGCAGAGTGTGGCGATGGAGACAGCAGCAATGGGAGGCCGTACAGGGACCCATGAGAGACTCTGGACCTGGCAGCAGCATGAGGAGGCGGTGGCAGGGGCCCAATGGGATTACGGGCCTGGCAGCAGCAATACAGGCCCGTAATCTGCCAGCACCCTATGACGAAAAAATGGGCCCCCACACAGCAGTCCCAGGATTGGACCTGAAAGGGGCACATGCATTGAGGGGCGAAGCTGCAATGGGAGGCGATACCGGGGGCCAAACTGGCCCCCACCCTACAGACCCAGCAGCATGGGACACTGGCCAGCCCAATGCAAATTCCCACGGTGCACCAGCAGTGTGACTGAAAGTTGCACATGGACTATGTGGCTGCCAGCCAGCTATGGGACGAAAACTTGGATGGACAGCCCGATACACAGGCAGATTACAGGCTGCCCCATGAGGAGACCTGAAAGTGGCACATGGCAGTAGTGTGGCGATGGCTGGTCAGCAGCAGATGGGAGGCGTACAGGGACCCACATGAGGGGACCTGGCGCAGCAGCATTGAGGACGGCGGCGGTACAGGGGCCCACGCAGATTACGGGCCTGGCAGCAGCAATGGGAGGCCCGTAATAATCTGCCAGCACCCTATGACAAAAAAAATGGAACACACCAGCAGTGTGTGAGGAGACCTGAAAGTGGCACATGGCAGAGTGTGGCGATGGAGACAGCAGGCAATGGGAGGCCGTACAGGGACCCATGAGAGACTCTGGACCTGGCAGAGCAGCATGGAGGAGGCGGTACAGGGGCCCCTTGGCAGATTAGGGGCCTGGCAGCAGCAATGGGGAGGCCCGTAATCTGCCAGCACCCCTAGGACAGTAAAAATGGAAACCACCAGCAGTGTGAGGAGACGAGGACTGAGGAAGACCTGAAAGGGAGTGGCACATGGCAGAGTGTGGCGATGGGAGACAGCAGCAATGGGAGGCCGTACAGGGACCCATGAGAGACTCTGGACCTGGCAGCAGCAGAGGAGGAGGGCGGTGGCGGGGTACAGGGGCCCATGGCAGATTACGGGCCTGGGCAGCAGCAATGGGGAGGCCCGTAATCTGCCAGCACCCTATGACAAAAAAATGGAACACACCAGCAGTGTGTGAGGAGACCTGAAAGTGGCACATGGCAGAGTGTGGCGATGGAGACAGCAGCAATGGGAGGCCGTACAGGGACCCCATGAGAGACTCTGGACCTGGCAGCAGCAGCATGAGGAGGCGGGTACAGGGGCCCATGGCAGATTACGGGCCTGGCAGCAGCAATGGGAGGCCCGTAATCTGCCAGCACCCTATGACAAAAAATGGAACACACCAGCAGTGTGTGAGGAGACCTGAAAGTGGCACATGGCAGAGTGTGGCAGAGCAATGGGAGACAGCAGCAATGGTGAGGCCGTACAGGGAACCCATGAAGACACTAGCTGGACTGAGGCGCAGCTGATGGTATCAGGGGGCCCCCCTGGCACGCAGCATGTAGGAGGGTCGGTACAGGGGGCCCATGGCAGATTACGGGCCTGGCAGCAGCAATGGGAGGCCGTAATCTGCCAGCACCCTATGACAAAAAAAAATGGAACACACCAGCAGTGTGTGAGGAGACCTGAAAGTGGCACATGGCAGAGTTGGTGGCGATGGAGACAGCAGCAATGGGAGGCCGTACAGGGACCCATGAACACTCTGGACTGGCTCCCGCCCCTGGGCAGCAGCATGAGGAGGATACAGGGGGTACAGGGGCCCATGGCAGAGTTATGGGGCCTATGGCAGCAGCTTGGCGGGTGGGGGGAGGCCCGTATAATCTGCCAGCACCCTATGACACAAAAAATGGAACACACCAGCAGTGTGAGGAGACCTGAAAGTGGCACATGTTTGGGGCATGATTCATGGCGGATTTAGTCAGTTGTGTCAGGAACTGGTGGTTTGAAATTCCAGACTAATCCACGCCTGATTCATTTTCACAAACGTGTGAGTCTCTCCACACTTTTGGTGGACAGTCGTGTCCTCCGCGGAGTTACAATACCCTCCTGCCGCACTAAACATGCGCGCGCTCAGGATGCCACGCTACTGGCTGGGCATGACAGCCTTTCAGGGCAAATTCAGCTAGTTGGGGCCAAAGGTCAAGTTTCGTTGCCCAGTAGTCAAGGGGATTGTCTACCTCGGTTGGCAGGGTGCTGTCCAAGTAGGCCCAAGCCTGTGTGTTTGAGGTCCTGCTCCAGGTCACCTGATGCTGCTGCTGCTGCGGCTGTTGTTAGTAGTTTCCTCACTGCGCTGGTGAAGAAAGCTACTCATCATCGACTGCAGACTGAGGCAGCTGCTGCTGGTGGAGCTGCCACTGCTACTACCACCCCACCCCTCCCCTGAGGCCAATGGCAGCGGAACGCGAGCGTTACACAGCCTGAGGCTCATGCACAGGGCAGGCCCCAGACAGCATGCATTCTCCTGGATGCCCATCGCTCCTCCCGAGCGTTACGCAGAAGCGCACATGGGGCCAGAGTCGTCTGAGGACCGCAGAAAGGCTGACCAACTGACTACATAGGTGGTTTTTATAGTACGTTATTTTGGCCTCCCTCTCAGCAGGTGTGAAAAAAAGGCCACCATTTTTGAACGGGTAGCGAGGGCTTTCCAACAAGGTGGACAGCCAAAAGTCATCCCTCTGTCTGATGGTTATTATTCGGCTGTCGCCTGCGCCGCTACGCAAGCAGCGTGCATGCTATGGGCCCATTTGTGCCAAGAAATGCGAGGGACTCCCTGCCTCCATCTCCACAGCATACTGCCACGGTGCGTCTGGAGGTCCCTGTCTCCTCCTCTACCAGATGCTCCTGCTCCTCCACTCCTGTCCGCTGAGTGGAAAAAAACCACCATTTCACTCAATAATTCCTGAGCACCAATGTCCTCCTCTACCTCCTCCTCTTGCTTCCTGTCCTGCCCCCACAGGGGTCATGTGGCGTTGAGATCTGTGCGCCACGTCTACCGCACCCTGACCAGCCATTGTTAACAGCATTTGTTCCAGGACGTGCAACAGAGGAATGACGTCGTTCATCCCATAGTCCTGCCGACTCACGAATAGCGTGGCCTCCCTCAAAGGGCCTGAGCAAGCGGCAGGTGTCACGCATGAGCTGCCAATGGCTGACATCGAAGTTACACAGGGGAGTACCTTTATTCCGCTTGTAACATCAGGAAATCGGTGATGGCCTTTCGCTGTTCGTAAAGGCGGTCTAAACATGTGTGTAGGGTTGAATTCACCTTTTTTGCATCCGTCGCAGATCAGGCGATGCTGTGCAATTTTGTTCTGCCGCCTGCAGCTCAAGGAGGGTGTGCTTTGCGGTGTAGGAATGGCTGAAATGCATGCAAAAGTTTACGTGACATTTTAAGGATGTCTTGCAGTGGGATGGTGGATGGATTTTAGGAACCCGCTTGACAACCAGATTGAACACGTGAGCCATGCATGGCGCATGGCACAACCTTCCTTGACGCAGAGCAGACACCTTGTTCTTTCCCGTTGTCGGTCAACATTGGTTCCGATTTTCAGTTTGCGCGGAGACAGCCATCTGTCGATTTCTCTTTTTTACACTCAGAGTTACACTCAGTCAGTTCCTCGCCAAGGCTACCAGGTGCAGCACAGCGTGACTACGTTCGCACCTGCACAGGCAACACGGTTGGGTGAGGGTTGCACGGGTGGCGGACTAGGACACCTTAAAGCAGAGGCGGCGGCGCAAATCATTTGCTGGACCAGGACTCCATGGGCGGGACTGCAAAAAGCGCGTCGACAGTTCTGGCTGGGCGGACTCTTGCAGCACCACTGTCGCCCTCGCACTGTCGGTGCACATGCCGTAATGCCGTATGGACACTGTCCGGACGTAGTGGCAACTTGGCGGGGTGGTCGCCGTGGGCCCACCCACTCTGTCCACTGGATAGTCTGGCCAGCCTTATGGTGGGTAGTTCGGCAGGGCTGAGCGGCCCTCACTCCCTCCCACGTTTGTGAGTGGCAACCACTGGACGGTGCTAAAGAGGGTGGCCAATGTGAGTGGGTGACCTGGGATTCGTTCACTTAGTTGCTGGTGCCCTGAGAGGCGCAACGTGGTTACCACTGGTTCTAACCACGCGAGTGGAGGGAAGAACAAGAAGGGTTGGGGGGGGTCTCAAGGACAAGCGTTGCAATGTCCCTGGGAAAGAATGGAGGGAGTTGCGACCAGCGTCCCACCACTTGTGACGGCAGAGAGCCGTAGTGGCTTGAAAGTGTGACTCGGGTCTCCAAGCAAGACTTGCTCCAAAAGGCCGGCCACTGTTTTTCGTAGGCAACGGCTGTCCAGAAATGATGACCCATCCACAGGTTGTCAACCCGGGAGGCGCTCGCCAAGGTATGCTAGAGAAAGGAGGTCCCGTGAACTGAGTCCTTTGGACCTGAATAGTTCAGCCCACACGCGGCGCGGCGTGCACTTTCAGGGTAGCAGAGACTAGTCCGGAGCTCAAAGAGCTGGTTGGCCCACACCCATCGTCTTCTTAGTGACATGTCGGCCAATGTGAATGCAGGGCTGTGCTCGGCACTGGAGCAGGCACCGCAATGCCAACTTGGACCACTCAGAGTGGAAAGACGTGGCTGGTCTCCTATTCTGGCGAGTAGACAATTGGTTGGGCTGCTCCACCGGGGCGGGCACAAGCCATCATGTTTCTCGGAAAGGTGCTGAGTCCACACCACTTGGAAAGGGAGGGACTGCAGCACCAGCAACTTGGACAGTGAGGACGTTCAGCTTTTGCACCGTCGGCGTTGCGTGGTGCTCGCAAACTGTTGTCTCTTGGAAACGGATTCCAAGAAAGACTGCTGACGGAATCCGTGAAGAGGAGTAGCAGGAGAAGGAGCATCTGAACGAGCAGAAGATGCCAACGAGCGACAACTCCCCTCAGCAGAGGTGTTGGAGCCTTGACTGGCTGATAGAGGGCGATTGACGTCGGGGTGACGGTGACGGAGCAAGTAACGGAGCGGGTGATGGAGCGGGGGGCTGGGGCAGGCAGAAACCGCCGTATCTTTATCACGGTTTTCCCAGGCCACCAAATGGCGACGCTGCATATGCTGCCGCACGCAACGCTGTAGTCCCAAACATGGGCCCCCTGGCCACGCTTGACTTTCTGGCCACATAGTCGACATACGGCTACGTTTACTTCCTCGGGCGGCTTGACGAAAAATTGCCACAACCGCCGAGTAGGAAACTTTGCCCCCCGATACTCCTCACTGGCTGACTGCTACTTCCTCCGTGCACACCGGCACCACTACTGGCCGTGGTGGTAGGCTGCAGTGGAGCTGGTGCTCTACTCCGTGGCCATTTGCCTCCACTGACACTGCTGCGACCCTGCTGCTGCCTCCTGGGCAACCCACCGACTGTTTTGCTCGCTGCCAAGCTGTCACCCTCTTCTCCTGATGATGCGGAAGCAATAGCCTGATGACGACGAGGCTGCCAAGTGCGATCAGCCTCATCATCATCATCAATTAGGGTCTCCGCCTCACTACTAGCCCCCCTCGGCTGCGTGTGGGTCAGGAGACAGACCTGTCTCTAGACCGGCTACCGAGCCACTCTCCTCACCACTACTTCTTCGCCTGGCTGCTGAAGAGGCGGATGTCTCCCCCCGTTCCTGACCGCCCTCTGTTAGCTCTTCCTCACTGTACAGTGGGGCTGAGCCCACAGCATGCGATACTTCTTCGCTTGGTGAGGGAACACCAAAGGACAGGGGCAGGTCGCGAGGACACGTGATTTCAGTGGGCTTGCTCCCGGGCCATGCCAACTAACGGTTGTGTCTGACGTACCCACCGACCGTTGGCTGTAGGTGTCAGAGGTGACCTGGGAAGAGGAAGACGACCGAGCCAACCAATCGATGACGGCAGGGTGCCAGTCGGTGGAGACACGACCGCTGGATGACACCGGGAGCAATGGCCTCTGGCTGCGACTAGTGCTGCCTCGACCCCTTCCTCTGCTGCCACGTCTGCTCGCTCCTAAAACATTGCCTCCTCTGCCACTCCTCTGCATGTTGTCTGACATACTCTTTAATTCAACGATTATGTGTCCCTGAGTAACAATTCTGTGTCCCTGAGTAACACTTCTGTGTCCCTCAGTAACAATTCTGTGTCCCTCAGTAACAATTCTGTGTCTGTCCCTGAGTAACAATTCTGTGTCCCTCAGTAACAATTCTGTGTCCCTCAGTAACAATTCTGTGTCCCTCAGTAACAATTCTGTGTCCCTCAGTAACAATTTGTGTGTCCCTCAGTAACAATTCTGTGTCCCTCAGTAACAATTCTGTGTCTGTCCCTGAGTAACAATTCTGTGTCCCTCAGTAACAATTCTGTGTCCCTCAGTAACAATTCTGTGTCCCTCAGTAACAATTCTGTGTCTGTCCCTGAGTAACAATTCTGTGTCTGTCCCTGAGTAACAATTCTGTGTCCCTCAGTAACAATTCTGTGTCCCTCAGTAACAATTCTGTGTCTGTCCCTGAGTAACAATTCTGTGTCCCTGAGTAACAATTCTGTGTCTGTCCCTCTGAGTAACAATTCTGTGTCCCCTCAGTAACAATTCTGTGTCCCTCAGTAACAATTCTGTGTCCCTGAGTAACAATTCTGTGTCTGTCCCTGAG